TTACAACAGGTTACTAAAAGTTATTATTATGAGTTTGGAGACGATGGCGGTCCATATACCAATGCAGAAACCCTCATGAATCTTTTGCACTGCAACACTGCTGAACGAACTTCGAATCTGTGGCTAAAATACGGGATTGAAATTTTGAAATATCTGTACGCCCTTTAATTTATCATAAATGAAATGCGATTTTTAAGCTTCCTACTGCATATACAATATTTTTACAGAAACTATTACAAATTTTTTAGTACGTGAAAATGCACGCCTATATAATGCGTTACAAAACTAATTAAGGATGAAGAACTTCGTACATGTATTACCTTCAAGAGAGTTTCGTATGGAAGTACAAATTAAACTGATAAATTATGTTTATTGTAACATATACATTACATATCAGCAATTTTTTATGATATTTACAATACTTTTATCAGTAAGCAATAAATATCATATTTATCTATGTACTTAAATATATAACATTTTAATATAGCCCATTTTAATTCAACCCATTGAAGAATATCACGGCCAAGAATTTTCACACTCATTTAATGAAATTAAGTTAAAATTTCCAAATACAGATGTATTATAATTACAATCATGCAATACAATGTAATAACAATAATCATATAAAAATGAATATAACCAATAACAATAAATTTTTGTTATTAATTTATAACTAAATGCAATTCTGGTTGGAATACTCTAGTCTCTTTTATTGCACTCTCAATAAATATAAATTATTTTTTTTACTACTTTTGGATCTATTCAAAATTATACAACTTATATATATCCACACTAAAGTTTATATGAGTAGTAGCCCAAATAAGTTAAATGTGTATATACGACATTTACTATTAATATACTCACTAGATATATAGATCACAAAAATTGGAATAAATGACAATGAGAAAGTAAACCTTTGTTTTCCATATCTGAAATAATCCACATTATATGGTAGGTAACATAATAATAATATCCAAGTCTTTTTCTACCTTTAACAGAGATTTTTAAGGTTATGTACATAAATATGCATAAGCATATATAGCTTATATTCTACTTCTTCGGATTATAGTTTGGAATTAATATCAACTGCTTAAAAAATATTAATTATGAAGGAAATTTTAAGATCTTCCAAACTGTGTCCATTTAATGTGTAACGTCACTAAAGAAAAGCCATACACATGTATACTTCATAATAAGATTAAATTATATATTAAAATTAGGTTTCGGTTATGTGTTACCGTCTCTATTTAAGGATTTAAAATTTAAAGTGCATGAAAATCATAATTTTGATAAAATAATAGTGTGCGCATAAAGCACTTTTTTTTCTGGTACAATAGGTCTCTTCTGGCCGCAGTACCGGCTGTTTGGCAATTTTTACGTCTACTCTTTAATAATAATAAAGCACTTTTTAAATATTCTGTGATGGAAACCACCTTCTAAAACAGCAAATCTTTTGTTTCTCACGTTGTATTTTTATTTGATATACTAATTGAGGTGGTTATGGTGAATATCTTTGCAACGTCACTATTCATAGCTATATTAGTTTTACGGCTGTATTAAATGTTTTTACATATGAAGCATGAAATGTATTTCTAGCCATAACTTTTTTCTGTGGTCTTTTCTAAGGCATTTTGTACACTAAGAAGGTATAAGCATTTGTTGGCGATAAGTTTCAGCTTCTTTCAAAAATATTCAACCGACTGACTGGCATGGTTGATCCTCAACATCAATTTTGAACAGCTCTGCCTGTAAATCATATGAAATCTTAAGTAATATAACAACCCTTCTCTTATTACGCTGTATTTATTGGAAGTTTGGCAATTTGATAACTTTTGTCACTATCCAGTATATTTAAAAGTGACTAGGCAACTCAGAATTTCTCGAACTTTAGCTTTATAGCTATATATCATACACCCAAATAGTTCCCAACATTTGCTTGTATATGGTATTAAAAGTTTCTTGGATAGCGATTCGATGTCTTTCCAATGAAATATTTTTTTTTGTGGTGCTCATTTCATGTTAGTTTTATATTTGATGTCATGTGTATTTTGCAGTGTTCGAATACGCAATTTAAATTTCCAGAATAAAAAGTTACTTCATTGTAGAGATGGATGTAGTTATATATGTAGAGTTTAATTTGTAGAACTGGCTTTTACGCATTTTGTATTGTTAAATTTAATTTTCGATTTTCTAGTGGAGCAAATTATTAATTTCAGTTTTTAATTTTAATATTTATATAAATAAAATATTAATATATTATAATTTTATTAATTTAAAATTTTAAATATTTAATAATATATAATTATTCTATATATATAATTATATAAGGGTGGAATAAGTATATAAATTATTTTATTAAATATTGTTAATATAATAATTGATTAATAACTAACTAGGGTTATATTATAATTACCGATCGTAGCGACAGTACTATCATTTAAAGTAGCAAGTGTCACTATAATTTCGGTTGAGCTAGTTTGTTGTTCATTTGAATAGAAACAAATTTATTGTCTTGTAGATGCTCAACATTTATTTTAGCAAATCACTATATATACATATTTAACTCCGAAATAACGAGCAGATTTATTTAAAGAAATTTTATCGCAATACTCTGCTGTGTGTTAAACTTTGTTATAAGCCTTTGAGAAACCTGAAAATGTAACTGAAGAACTTTCTTGTTGTCAAAAATAATTTCTACTAATTAAGGCAATCTGTATACCTAATCTATAACGAAATGGCTACATATAAATCTGATTTGGTATAAAGGTTTTGTTTTTTTTTACCATTTAACATACCATTTTAACCTAGCAATTTAGTTCCTTATTCTTAGTTAACTTTAAAATTAAGTTTATAATATTAACTCACAAAAAATTAAATAAATAAAAAAGATCTTTTTAAGTACCATTTTTTCAAACACTTTTGAAGATATGGATAATTCTCCTATAAGACTCAACTTCACTTCCTTACTTTCCTGGCTAAGACAACTCATTGATTTCTTTTCCTTTTCTCAGCGATGAGATGTTAGACTTATCATCTATATTATGACATTGAAAATATTTTTTATTTATATGAGGCTTTTATAGTCACTTCACATAATATTTATACTAACAACAAAATCATTCAAGATAAATACTTTTATATTTTAACCACTAAATATGGGCACATAAATATTTTTTAGAAGATATACAATACAAAGGTTTTAAAAGATAGTACTAAAACATAGTACTAAAACAAATTTTCTTTATTTATTATAGCTTCCTAAATATAAATATATAAAATAAATAACAAAAATAGAGAAATCATTTTACCGTTTTTATATAAGTTATGTGGTTCGTCCTTTTACTTAAAAAATGCATATTAAAATTTGATTGCCTACATGGGCATACACAGTTAGGGGCAAGGGCGAGACCCCTAGATTGCAAAATGTTATTATTGTTTTGAATAAAAATTTAATACTGTTTACAAGAAAAGTTTAAAATTTGTCTTTTTTTGTGAACAAAATCTAATTTTCAAGTTTTTAATGAACTAGGTGTGAAATATACTAGCTAATATTAGCCAAAAAGAAAAAGATAAAAGTACTAAAGAGGGGTGCCTTAGCACACGTTAAAATATGTAAAAATATCATATCAGTATATCAACGCTTCCCCCTAATTTCGGCCCTGGGTACGCCCATGATTGCCTATAATAAATCTTTTTATACCAGCAAAATTAATAGCAGATATGAAAATCATTTCCTCTTCTCTGAAATAACAAACAAAAATCTTTATACGCCTGTCAAATAAATATGAGGAAAAATTTAACTTTTAGTAGATTTAAATCTGAGAATAATATTGTAAATACTTACAATATTATATAGAAACCATAAAACTGTTTGCATCGATAAATGAAATTCAAAACACTTTTGTTTAATGTTTTTTATTTTTTTTCGTGTATTTTTTATAGCTACAATTTTTATTACACTTTAAAATTATTTACAAATTTTGTACGCTTTTAGAAAGACATAAATAAAAATATAATAATATTGTATAAAATAAAATTCATGAAAATAATAAAAAAAAACTATACCATAATTCACAATTCGTTTTCGCAAACAATAAAAGATACTCGTGTCAAATACATTGATCAGTTGCAGTTGCTTCGAAGCCCAAAAGTATAAACAAATTAAAATTAAAATTAAAATTAAAATGAAACTAAAATCTAAAAACTACATAAAAACGAAAATGAACAATAAAAATGTAACTAAAATTCCTAAACAAATAAAAGCAAATTTATGAACATTGAATGAGTGAGTGAGGTTTGAGGTGTGAGGTTTGAGACGTGAGTACACTAAAGTAAAATTATGTTAAAAATAAAAACTTATGCAATTAAATACTTTCACTTCATGAAAAGTAAGTTCACATATCGCAACAGCGGCACTCATTTCTTACATCAAAACTACTAATTCACATATAACACTTGCTTCTTATTAGCTTCAATGCTAATAACCAAGTATCTCATGTGCTCCGAGCCGGCTTATATATTAAAATACTTTTAAAGCAATTAAAATTATTTATGAATTTTATTTCTATATATTAAAAATTATTTTAATTCATAATATTATGGATAGTGTTTTCAACTTAAAGTAAAACTAAATTACATACTATGAGCGTTTCCATCATTAAAAATATTATTATTAATAATTATAAAATTTAATTACATATTAAAATTAAAAGTCTTTAGAAAATATTTTCTATAAATAAAATTAATTTCTGTATTCACTGCATTTTCTTTTTTTTCCTTTTTTGTTGTTTTTTTTTCTTATTGAATTATAATTTTAATTTAAACTTAATTTAATTAAGAATGGATATACTCCCTAGGAGCCAATGTGCACTTGGGATTATGCGTACGATAATTATTAAATAATATCTTCTTTTGTATAGTATATTATATTCTTAAACTAATATCATTTATTTAAAAATATATTGCAATTATTACTTATATTTTCATAAATTAAACTGAAATCGATTGCAGATGTTGTAATTATTTTTTTCGTTGTGTTCTTCGCTTTAGTACATCATGCCTGGATGTACTGCTCCACCTCGTTGAAAGTACACGTTCGGATTACTACTTAGTGTTGGCTCCAGTGTGGTGTAAAGATTGGTCTCATCTGGCCGTATGAATAAACCTAAGAAAAATATAATAGAAAATAAACAATTTTATTAGAATTTTATTATATGTAAAATATATATCTGAAAAAAACATAATATAACATAAATAGTTTAATATAGTAAATATAGTATAATATAGTATAATATTACAGCATACATAAATAAATATATTTTAGATGTCTAGTTTTATACATATCATATATAAAAAACTTTTAATATATTTTAATAATAAATTAATTTATAAGAAGTATAAAAAAAATAAGTAAACCTATTGGCTTTGGCTTTGCCGAAGCTTATAGTGTGTTTCCACTGCTTACTTAGTAAGTGTAACTTACTAAACTAAACAATTTTTTATCATCAGCAGTATATGTGTTAGTAAAAAGTGAGATGAAACATTTTCTGCTTAAAAAGTAATAATATGTTTATATATATTACATACTTTAATATATATCTATGCCCAGAAAAAGTAGATTGTACTAGAAATCAACTTAGATGTATAAGCTAATTGTTTTGCCGTACAATTTTTAAACGGTTTAAAATATAAGTGATCCTTTAATTCAGGGTAACACTTGTATTAGACTGAGATTCTCTAGTAAGAATGTCATGAGTATATTTAATCTATGGTCTGCATATACTGAACAATGTCAAAGAGGATGTGTAGCGTTTCTACCATTTTTATTATAGCTGCTGTGAGAGTCTTTGAAATAAACTGATGTCTCATGGCAGATATTGAATGGTTCAGCAAAAAACACTTGTCTCTAACTAGAACGTCATAGCAGTTAGTAATATAAAGCTTAATATAGAGCGAGAGTCTTCCAAATAAAGCAATGTCTCATGACCGATATTGAACTGTCCAGTAAATCTATCAAAAGACACTTGTCTCTAATTACCATGCCATATAAGTTAGCAACATAAAACTTAATATAGAGCTTTAATTGATTTGCTGTAGGTTGTGAAACTGTGTCGATCCCAATTGCTTAGATCGTTTTAGTAGTGAGTGGCTAGACGTCATATTATTTTTGTGCCTTTTCTACTAGATCATTGATATTCTGCGAAAACTGATCAGTAGTAAAAATATATTAATCTTTTTAAATATTAAAAAATTTTTCGATATATAATCAAAAACGAACATTTAAACGTTTCTTATTATCTGTATGAAGGAATTTATTTCTTACCTTTCGATAAATAGAGTAAAAATTGAAAGAACTACCTCATGGATAATTCTTATATTAAAATTATTTCTTATTTTATTTATAAAATATATTAAACATATACTATACATACATATTAGCAATTTAATCAAAAAGTAAGTTAAATTTATTCCATATTTTGTTTAAATCCTTTGATAAAATCATTTTATTTCGAATTAAGTATTATTTAATTATAATAAGCAATATTAATACTATATTTTGTTCTATTTTGTTATTTAAAAAAAAAATATGTGTTAATAAAAAATCAATTAAATCACATTTAAGACATCTGGTGACATTTTTGGCCATTCGATGCATAGTTACTAAATTATATATCTACATATAATATTAATAAATATTCTAGAGATTTGGTTTGCTTTGATGGATGATGTCATTTTTAAAATAATCTTAATATTTTTACTATGTAATAAACAGTGTTAATGATGTTTACTAATCATATAGTGAAACTAATGGCAATATTATATTATTTTGTGATTATGTCAGGAGAAGAAAAGTATTTTTTAATTTTAAACGAAAAACTTCCTTCCTTTCTCATGAAGCCAGCGAGACTCGTTGATGAGTTATCTAAGTAAAACGTATAATATATTTTCGTGATTCATTCTTCGGTCTGACTAGTTTTTTATTTATAAAATAATTTCCTATATACATTTCTATTATAATAGCAAAACATTTTCTTATAAACTTTTGAACTTAAACAGGACTTTGTTTATTGCAGTCCAGTCAGATATTTCCATTTAACTACTTAATACTGGTTAAGTTAATAAAGTATGAACTTCTTAATTAGCTAAACTAATACTCAACCCTTCTTACTCTAGAATGATATTGATTGCTGACAGAAGATATTGTTTCACTTTGTAGTATTTGAATATGTGTATGGAATCTACACCTACATAATTCTGGAAGGAACCTTCTTAATCAATATATAACAATCTTCTGAATAGTAAGGCTGCGATCTAGGCTTTGTCCAATCATTATATATAATCAAAATCAGTTAAGTAGTGAAAAACTAAAATCATATCAGTGTACAATCCATTTTACCATTTTACCCATTTAGTTGAAATGGATAAAATGGAATAGGGGAATACAGAAAAATAAGATCCCATATATGAACTAGTCAGACAAGGTTGAAAGGCATCTTTAGCAACAGAGAAAAAACTGATTTTATTTAAAGATATTTAAAACCATTTATAAAATTATTTTCTAATATGGAAGACAATAATGAACTGTGAGAAATCTAAGTTGTCTTTGGTGAGCTATAGTTTAATAAAATAGAAAATCTATTGGGTAGAGTACTGATTGAAATGGTCAAACTGCAAGCAGTAGTGCTGACAGATTATTAGTCAATAGACATCTTTGGTAAAAAATTTGATTTTTATTTTAACTAGATAAAAAGATATTTAAATGCTTCTTCTTCCAATGCCTAGGTCTGGCAAAATTTAAACATTCCATTATGGAAATTTAATAACTATTGAATTTAACGAAAATCTTAAATAAGTGTCGTATAACAAATTATGTGTTTGGATTTAAACATAGAAAAACATATCTTCAGAACCTTATTTTCGGGTGCTCTTTCGAAGCATCTGCCGCCATAAAAACCAATCAATTATTGTTTGTTTGAATCAGAATTTTAAAAATATGTTTGAAAAACTATTGAATGTTATTTCAAAGAGAGTTTGAAAGTTGGATCTACAATATCTATATTATGTGACTACTTTGAAAGATTTGTTAAAACAGTTTTGATTTGGTAATGTACGTACCATACCTTGAACTATTTTTTGCTTTTATTGTAATTTAAAATATTAATTAATATTTAGTAATTAGTGCACTTCTAACCAGTATGTTAATTATGACTCTTTTATTTTTCTTAACCCTTTAAAAGCCATTCTCATACCTCGCATTGTGTTTAGAATAACCTTACCAGATGTACCAGATACTTTAAGCGTTTTTCTTAATCAATTTTTATTTATTTCTTTTAAATATTAATTAAATATATTTAATTAATTATGCTTTATAATAATAATTAGTAATTTGATTAATGGTGCAGGTGTTACAAACCTTACCTGGATACCGTAATGTCTGTGCGATATGTGCTTGTGTCATTGATGTCAGCGAGTTGCCCAATTGTTTGAGCGTCGGTGGTGATGGCAATTGTGTCATCGGTGGTGGTGGTATTGGTGGTGGTGGGGGTTGTGGATAAAAACAAAACGGGTGCGCTGTCAAATGTGCTGGAAAATAGTGATACATACGTGTATAGCTCGGTGGTGCAGCAGTGACCAATGCAACGCGATCTTTTTTATTTCAATTTCGCATTTTTGCATTTTTATTTGTTATCGATTTTTTTTTTTTTTTTTTAATAATTTTATATAATATTTTTTTTTGATTTTTTTGTGAATTTGCCGAAATATATTAATTCCAAATTTCCAAAAATTCCATAATTTCCACACCGTTAAACGCATAAGCACACATATACAAAAATATATAAAGAAACACACACATTGAACAAAAAATGTTTATTTACATGTGCAAAAGTGAATGTGAAATAATTATTTAAAAAAAAAAATGTTTAAATATTTATTTGTTTTGCAAAAACGTTATAACGATTTCGAATTTATAAAAAAAAACGTACAAATTAAATAAATAAATTAATTAATAAATTTGATGATTTTTGAGGTGCATGATGAACGCAATGTGAAGATGTTTCGTGTGATTATTTATGGTGCAATTTTTTTGTATTTTATATTTTATTGTTTATTAAATAATATAAAATTTTAAAATTAATTTTTATTATTTGTTATAGACAATGAGTTCGTTTGTTTAAAATGAGTTTTGTAATGAACGTATTTGGTGAATTGGTGTTTGTTGTGGTATGAAGATGTGAAATTTGTTGTGAAGCGTTGCAAAATGTTGTTAAAGAAATAATAGAAAAACAATAAAAGAAATAACAATTAATAAAAAAATGAATTAGTTTATATTAAATAAATAATGAAATAAATGTGATTATGAAAATATTTGCAATAAGTTTACATTTAAATTATTTTTTTTTGTTTTGCTTACTCTTGTATTAACTAAAATTGTTGCAAAAGAGTTTATCACACTGAGAAGTCTAGTTAAAAATTTCATAAAATTTTTAAATTTCATAAATTTGATTCAATATAGTTTTCTTAATACTATTAATTAAAAATAATTAAAACTAAATTTTGGTAGAGTATATAAATGAAGTATTTATATAAGAATTACGCGAGGTTTGAGGTATACCAAACAAACCTCCGTGTATAGTCAGCTAAATTTTAATAAATTATTAATTAAAATTTTTGTTGTTTTTTCATTTCTATTTAAACCCTTCTAACTTTTAGATAGTTTATTTTTATCATAAGACGCGTCATTTTCGATAAAAAAAAAATTAAAAAATTTTTAATTATCAGCGACAGAAAACCAAATATAGAATAAGTTAAATTCTAAGAGACAATAAAATAATTAAAATTCGATAGTTATATTCTTCAATAACTAGTAAATAATACCCATAGGATAGGAATAGACAGGGTACTAGCTCCCGACGGAGCAGAGCATTGCGAACAGATTGATTTTTTGTGCTGCAACAGACCATAACCGAACAGAAGACATTCCGCCTTCTGAATAAAAGCCAGAATGTCGCCTGCTGAGGACCTCCTAATATAAGAAAGGGAAAATAATTCTCGACCCAGTGACCTCCTCCTGGCCCAGATCAAGGCAGAGTCACATAGAATGTGACTGGAAGTCTCGTTCTGCTGAAGAGGGATATCTTGCCATAACTGTAGGGGTGAAATAATACACATAAAAATAATACATTCTGTAAAAAAATAATGGTATACGATCTCGAATAAACATGCAATCCATTTCACTAAATTGTGAACACACTTAATTGCTTCTATTTATGAAATGAAATTGTTTTTAATCCACCTTGAGGAAAAAATCAAAGCGTGGTCGAAACATTGGGCACATTATATTAAAAATATTAAATATTATAGCTATATATTTTAGTTTCAAATATTTTCATTTTATATTTCAATTAATTAATGTAGATCAAATCGCAAAATTAAATAAAAGCTACAGAAGTTGTCTCCCGTCAAATTCAAACGAACTTGTAAATCTTACTCAATATTAAAGATGTTTCAATATATAAATTGAAAGTAGTTTTAACAGAACGAATTGACTGGGGAAAGTATAATTTATTAGATTTTACAATTAATGTCCCGGATATATAGGCAGTTGTGAGTAAGAGTTGATATACTAATATACTGATATACTAGTGTTCCTGATATCGGATAATGGGTCCAGAAATCCAGTAAATATGTAATTGTTTTTTCAATCGGTTACTGTACTCCTTAGTTGAGATCGTAAATATCACTAACGTGTTACTTTATCATAAATATTTTAATATGGAGGAAAACAAATTTGTTGTCCAGAGGGTTGACCCTTCACAAACAATTAAACCAATACAGCTCATTTGGTAATTGTATTTACTAACAGATTTCTGGCATACAGCTTTATATAACATACGTATAACATACATATATTTAGATAAAACACATGAAGTAATATATGTAAATAGACATAAATAATTACTTTTCAAATATCAAAGGTGGTATGTTGGACGTACGGTACAGCTAGAGCAAGATTTTTATATGACAGTTAGTGCTAGAAGATAGCTTTTAACAGAGCTCAGCACATAAAGCTCTGTGGCTGTCGTAGTTTTTATTATATATGTATTGTGTTAGTAGTTTTGTCAAATAATTCCTCATACCGAGTTGTATATATGTAATGAAGGATGTAGTTAATATGACACGCATCAATTGGAATTAGAATCTTGATGTTCTAAATTTTAAATTTTAAATTTATTTTTGTTTGAAATATTTATTTTTTCTATAAGGGCATCTCACTCTAAATCCTATTGTATCGCAGTAAATATTCCAACCATCCATCTTTGAATTCTTTCAAAGTTTTTTTAATAAATTTTAAACGAAATGGACTTTTGTGAATTGACTTTTGGTTCACTACAAATATTTTAAATGCAGCAATTTCGAATGCTAGTGCTAGTTTGAGCTTCCAAACTAGATCATTGAAGTTAATTAGAAGAAAACTTCACTATGAAGAATATGTTCATTAACGATGACTAAAAAAATTTATTTGAACCCAAACGATGTTAGAAGTAGCATCAGTTCAAATAATAAATAATTTAAATATTTTGAGATTTCTGAATAATAGACCTTTAGGTGTAACTCAAGTTCATTAAATACTAATATAGCAGTTTTACTTTTAATTATAAAAATAAAGAAATAGCATACAAGAAACACATAATTTTTTTATATTGTAAATATTTAAAAGAAATTGTATCTATCACATTCTTATAGAACTTTATATCTACAATAACAAATAATTTTTTTTACTAATTTTATTTTGTTTTAATTTTTCACTAAAACAATAAATATCATAGTTGTATGTTATATATGCAATTTACTCTAATTCTCTTAATGATGCTGTGAAATTCAACAGCTGCCTTTATCCCAAATTAATTTCATATTAAAATTAAAATATTTTTATCATCTCAATATCTTCTTTAACGTTTTCCAAGAATTTCTGTTCGTTTTTTTATACTTCTGTATTTGGTTAGTAGGCGCAATAGAAGCAGCATTTATCTTCATCAGATTAAGCAATCGATTTGTTAACCTAATTAAATTTCAGATTAATACTTTTCGACACATTGTGAACATTTTAAGGTGAAAAAGTGTTAATCAATTAGTTTGATTTTTTCTCATTTCAACGTTTTGTAGATAAAAGTATTATTAACGCTTTTACATGGCCAAATACAGTGAGCAGTTTGTCAATAACTACTAATTGCCTTATACGATCATCATCATTAACCTAGTTCTTTTTATACGTTTAACACTCCTCATATGTAGTGCAAGAAGGTAAATTGAGTATTTCAAGATGTTTGTTAGCAGAGCAAAATATATTAGATACTTTATAAAGCATTAATTAAAGTACATTTATTTTAGAAGAGATCAGTTGTTATTAGCAGATCTAAGTCTTCTTCTTACTACTTATCTGTGCTGTTGCCAATTCATTTATACACAATCTGACATCTTATAATTCTGATCTCTGATTAGAAGTCTTTAACAATAGTAAGAACGGTCGAAATAGGTTTATTACTATTTCTACTTTATTACACCTCATTGAGATTGTTTAGTTTCTTCATTAAAAAGAAATTAACGTAATAATATAATGTGAAGGTAAAAGGGTTCTTAATTTTTACGTATAATGCAAATTTTAAGTTTCGTTTTAGATCATGATTTAACTGTCTGATTTCTAATACGGGTTCATTAGAAAGATATTTTTGAATATAGTTATCTATCTATTTTTAAAGCAGTGTTTTGTTATCTGCATATATTACACTTAAAACATTATTTCAAAAACTGCAAATTACTATTATTAACTTGAATATGAACTGAGAAGAGAAGAAATAAGCGAGATTTACCAATAGGAAAAAGCTATTTCTATTACTAACCTATTTCTATAACCTCATATTCCCTAAATTGTTCAAAGATGTTTGGAAAAGTAAATTAATTCTTTTTTTAATATTATTTAATTAATTGAATAATAACTAAAGAGCTGTTTCAAATATTTGAGTATAAGTTCGACCATTGGTACCTACAGTCTCAAAAAATTATTTGGGAATAATGAAATACAAGAAATAATTTATAAACTGATGATGGGTATTTGGCAATACTCGAAACAGCTGCATGGTTAGCCAAAAATACAATTAATTAAAATAAAATAAAAGGATTTTTTGTTGTTGTAGTTTACTACTTTTCGAAACTTCTCTAACAAAAACAATAGTTTCTTTTAAGTAAAATAAATTACGTTAAATTATTATTTTGTAAATTATTTAGCGTTCTTAAAATTGGGTTTACATATAGTAAAATACATAGCATTTGCAGTGTCAATTAGAATTGAAAATGGGTCTCATATTCTTTTAAAAGCAAATTGGTATAACTTTACACCAGCTTTTTTAACATGTTATTATGAAAACTAACAATAATTAAATTTTTTAGGGTTTAGTTTATATGAACTTAAATATTACTTAAGATAACGCTGATTTATTCCATCCAACAAGGTATATTAATATTTTCTAGACATTTTTTTTGTTCAACTTATCAAAACTAAATTATGGCTATATATAGCAATCAAACTAAAAAATTATCAGTATAAATGATACAAGCATTTAACATGTATAAATTTTAAAATC